ATCATCAGAGCTTAAAGTGGCTCTGGAGTACAGAGAAATCACGGGTTGCCAGGTGGGCTATGTTTCTTCAAGAATTTCAGTTTAAGATCATCTACAGAGCTGGAAAAAGTCAACAACACGTGGATATCTTCACGCGTGACGTCGAGTTTGGTAAGTTAGACGAAGATATTGACGCTAGGTGGGTCCTGACATCACAGACGGATGTTCAACCGTCAATGTTGACCCTCAATGAGACGTTCCCCACGCCTGAAGATGTCGCTAACGCATTTGAACAAGAACCTGAACCACCTTTCTCGTATACACTTCAAAATGGTCTACCAATCGTGCGAAATCGCGTGTATGTTCCTGAGGTACTCCGACGACGGGTTCTATTCTACTTTCATTTCTCCCGAGTTGGAGCCCACCAAGGTGTTCAAAGGTCCTACCATCGGTTGTCTAAATACTTCTGGTGGATTAACATGATGAATGATGTTCGGCAATTTGCGAAACAGTGCCTGACATGCATTCGACGAAGGCATACGGCGATAGACTTCGTGCGAGGTAATCTACTCTCGACTGGTATGTTCGAAGTGGTCGCGTGTGATACGGTCGGCCCTATCTGGTTTCGGGAACAACAGTTCTACATATTCACCTGCATCGATCATTTCAGTAAGTTCGCCATTGCAATCCCTCTCCGCACAGTCCGTGCAGTCGATCTATGGGAAGCCTTCTACTGCAACTGGGTTGCCGTTCTCGGTGCTCCGAGGAATCTGTTGAGCGACAGTGCATTTCGCGCGGAAGAGTTTAGAGAGCGTTGTCAAGGACTGGGAATGAATTGTCTCTACTGTTCAACGTACTACCCTCAAGGCAATGGTGTCGTAGAGGCCTTCCATCAGTATCTCAATAAGTCTGTTAGCGCGTTCGTGTCGACAACAGACTGGAGTTTCACGGAGATCGTTGCCTCTGCCATGTTGGCCTATCGTTCCACGCCGCACCCAACTACTGGTGAGTCACCGTATCGGATCATCACCGGCGCAGACTTGGTTCTACCTCACTTCCAAGAATGGCACAAGTTCGAGACTTACATAACGGATGTGATTCCGCGTCTCAGGCTATTGAACACGTTCCGGCAGGATGCCCTCAACCACACTTTGTCTTCAGTCAGCAAAGGACGACCGCCTGTGAAGAAGGAAATCTACGTCGGAGATACGGTGGTGGTGCTCTTGCGTGGAAAGATGCTGGCTACCATACAGCAGCGCTTCGGAGTCAGTAAACTCATTCCCACGTGGTCGGAGCCTTGCCGAGTGACCGCGCTAAAAGATAACAAGGTGGTCACGCAGTCTGTGTGGCACAAAGACTTAGTGTATGAAGCTCCTCTTTCGGAGGTCATGAAGATAGCACGGATTCCGGTGGATCTTCGAGCGCTCACAATACGAGAAATCAACTCTGACCATGACAGGCATATACCACGAGATACCGATCCGCTACGGCGTGCCAACCCTCATGAATCTAGGCCGAGCATCCCGCGTGGAAGTCGACCTTCGCAGAGACCTATGATCCGGCCGTTCACTGGCAGAAGGAAATCTTCCATCGACCGACTACTGATGAAGGAAGCAGGAAACCCAAGATTTCATTTCGCCTTGGTACCCCGCGACTCTTAAAACCCCGGGAGGTTGTGACGTATGAGCGCCCCACTCAACGACGATGGACACACGATTCGACTGAGACAGGACGCCTCAGCACACACAAATAAAACAAGGAGTTGGGGTGCGATGGGGTAGGAATTTTTAGCACTCTGCAGAGTAGCATTTAACTTTCATTTGATATCAATCGGCTAAGTTTCAATATGTCACAGCCCACGATTCCTTCAGTAGACAGCCACGAAGCCCAGAAACAAATCAGTGCAGTTGGCTGTTTGGTCTACTGGTATGATTCTCTTCGG